AATACAGCCCATGAGCATGGTCCTGCCTGGTGTGGTTGGGTTTAAATTACTAGGAAAACTGAGAGATGGTGTGACAGCTACTGACTTGGTTCTGACAGTTACTCAAATGCTGAGGAAGCATGGAGTTGTCGGCAAGTTTGTGGAGTTCTATGGTAAACCCATATATGTAGTCTTAGTATCTAGTGATATTAGTGTTTTGATGATAATGGCTCCATCTGCTGTCTGGTTTGCTTATTCATCTCACATTAGATGTTGGCCTTTACTTTCTTATGCAGGAGAAGGCATGAGTGAATTGTCACTAGCAGACCGTGCCACAATTGCCAACATGTCTCCCGAGTATGGTGCGACCATGGGCTTCTTTCCTGTGGATCGTGTCACGTTGCAATATCTGAAACTAACAGGCAGAAGTGATGACAAGGTAAGTGCTTGGTTAAACATTTTCGTTTATCCTGTCCTTTTGTTTATATGCTGAGATAAAAATTACCATGCAGGTTGCTCTGATAGAATCCTATTTACGGGCTAATAGGATGTTTGTCGACTACAATGAGGTACAATATGCACACCCATGACCTTGAATACCATTCTATTGAACAACTTCTGCAATATGGTTTCTGAATGAATATTTTTCCTCAACTCAGCCCCAGGTTGAGAGAGTGTACTCCTCTTATCTGGAGCTAAATCTTAATGAAGTGGAACCATGCATATCAGGTCCAAAGAGGTACAATTTATTGTCAAATCAAGCTATTATGCACACACTTAATACCAAATTTTAATTTCGATCTTTTTTTATGTGCCACTGAGAAGCATATGTCTTGTAGGCCACATGATCGTGTTACTTTGAAAGAAATGAAAGTGGATTGGCACGCATGCCTTGACAATAGAGTTGGATTTAAGGTGAGAAGTTCCAGCATTAACACAAATTTTCATATAGTACAGCATGGAAACTGTGGGGCCATTTGAATATTCCAGAATTTGATTACTTAATTAATAGATTAATATTCACTTAGAGACATTATCAGTCTGTGAATAAGGAAATTTCTATTTGTTCTGTGTCCATGGTTAGAAAACCTTTTCCTCAAAATATTATCCTAAGGATGGGACATGGTGACACATGGACGTTTAAGATTTTGATTAAGAAGAGAAAATGCAAGGATCATAACTCGTTTTTGGTCGATCACCATAGAAAACTGTCAGTGTCTTGGGGCCCGTTTGATAACCGTTTCAATTTTAGTATTTAGTTTTCATTTTTTGTGCTAGATTATAGAGGAAAAGGAGGGAGAATGGAAGTGAGAATGAGATTGGAGATGGGATTGAGAGGGAACATGAGAGTGGAGGATGGGAGGGATGAGTAACAAAAGTGAAAACAAAAACTAAAAACTGAAATCTATTTGAAATTGTTTTCACTTTCAAGTTTTTGTTTTCGCTTTTGTGACTCCTGCTTCTCATCTTCCCCTCTCATCCTCTCTCTCAATCTCATCCTCACTCCCATTCTCACTCTCATTTTCCGTTATACCCTAGCACAAAAAATGAAAAATGAAAACTAAAATTGAAATGGTTATCAAACAGGCCCTTAGTTTTCCATTTTACTAATTTGATGACTGAGACTATTGCTCATAATAGTTTTAGTGATATTATCATAATGAGTAATTGTGCATCAACCCTCTCTCTTTTTCTTATGTTTCTTGCATGGTATTGCAGGGTTTTGCTGTGCCGAAGGAATCTCAAAATAAAGTTGTAGAGTTCACATTTCACGGAACCCCAGCTCAGCTAAGGCATGGGGATGTAGTTATAGCAGCTATCACCAGTTGCACAAACACCTCAAATCCTAGTGTAATGCTTGGAGCTGCTTTGGTTGCAAAGAAAGCTTGTGAATTAGGATTGGAGGTTGGATGTCTCTACTTGTAGCTCATTTCTCATAATGGTATAATCATTCATAGGATGAAAAAGAGAAAGTGAGAAAAGAAATATATTATGCTAGAACCACTAGAAAATTGGTGTCCCCATGTTTTTTGGTCTACTGAATACTTTTGGAGTTGAATAATGAAGGTGTGGAAGTTTATCTTATTTCAGCATTATATAATGTAGGGCATTATAGTGAGTCTTTTTAATTAATTCTACATGCAATGTGTCTTTTATTAGGTCAAGCCATGGATTAAGACAAGTCTTGCTCCGGGTTCTGGGGTTGTAACCAAATACTTGCAAAAGAGGTACTTTTAAGAATCTCTGTACCACGTCTTCGGAAAGTTATACTACTTTTGTAAGGTATTCATCATAAGTCATGTCCTGCAGTGGGTTGCAGCAGTATTTGAATCAGTTAGGGTTTCATATTGTTGGGTATGGATGCACCACATGCATTGGGAATTCAGGAGATATTGATGATGCTGTGGCATCAGCTATTACAGAAAATGGTAAACTTTCTATAAATTATCTACAGTAGTGCTACTTTATGGAGTCTTGCAAGGTGACTAAGTAGTTGATTTTCTCCTTGTTTACAGATATTGTAGCTGCGGCTGTGTTGTCTGGAAATAGGAATTTTGAGGGTCGTGTGCATCCTTTAACAAGGGCCAATTATCTTGCTTCTCCTCCCCTTGTTGTTGCCTATGCTCTTGCTGGAACGGTACGGAGCTCATAAGTTCTTGCACAGCTGCTTGTTGCTCTCTGTATCATGTTATGTTATATGCTTCTTTTCTGCTATTCATATGCATATGCCCTTTTTTGTTGTGCTCAAATGATTTTGCGCCTGTCACATTTGTCTTTTTGGTGCAATATCTCATTCGTTGGCTGTGCTGCAGGTAGATATTGATTTCGAAACAGAACCAATTGGGTTGGGAAAAGATGGTAAGAAGATATTTTTCAGGGACATTTGGCCATCTAATGAAGAAGTAGCAGAGGTAAGTTGCTCTACTGCTTTACTGGGAATTTCTTTTTACTTTTCTGATAACTTTGGAATGAATTCACTAGTAGAGTTACTATAGAAATTGAGGGATTGGAAATTCTTGTTGGTCTAATTATTCTGTCTTCAGGTTGTGCAATCAAATGTGCTTCCTCATATGTTTATGGCTACATACGAAGCAATCACCAAAGGAAATCCAATGTGGAATCAGTTATCTGTACCGGATGGCACTCTTTATGCCTGGGACCCAAAATCAACTTATATACATGAGCCACCTTATTTCAAAGATATGACCATGTCTCCTCCGGGCGCTCATGGAGTGAAGAATGCTTACTGCTTGCTCAACTTTGGAGATAGTATCACAACTGACCACATCTCACCTGCTGGTAGCATCCACAAAGACAGTCCAGCAGCCAAATACCTTCTGGAACGTGGTGTTGATAGAAGGGACTTCAACTCTTATGGAAGTCGCCGTGGTAATGATGAGATTATGGCAAGAGGCACCTTTGCAAATATTCGGCTAGTCAATAAATTTTTGAAAGGAGAAGTTGGTCCCAAAACAATCCATATTCCCACTGGAGAGAAACTGTCTGTGTTTGATGCTGCCATGGTAATGCCCACTAATCTCAACTTTTACATAAGGTTATCCAAAAATGGTTTAAATTCCTTAGGAAGATTTTCTGTATTCAATGTTTTAAAGTTGATGCCTTCAAGCCCCACCTGAATCTACAATTTTTGCTCTTTGACTTTTATTAACAGAGGTACAAAAGTGAAGGGCATGCTACGATTATTTTGGCTGGTGCTGAATACGGGAGTGGAAGTTCTCGTGATTGGGCTGCTAAGGGTCCAATGCTACTGGTATGCCCTCTGGCAGTATCTCATTCCGTTTTAGTTCAAATATATGTTTGCCATCTTTGACTTATCTAATGAAGTCTGCTTTAAATCATAATTATTTTCAGGGTGTGAAGGCAGTCATAGCAAAGAGCTTTGAGCGCATTCACCGCAGTAATCTTGTGGGCATGGGCATCATTCCACTATGTTTTAAGACTGGGGAAGACGCAGACACTCTGGGGTTAACCGGTGAGGAACGTTACACCATCGATCTTCCAAGCAGTGTTGGCGAAATTAAACCCGGACAGGATGTTACAGTGGTGACAGATAATGGCAAATCCTTCGTATGTACACTACGATTCGATACAGAGGTAATGGACTGCGTCATGCTCTGCTTCTTTCACATCTTTATTAGCCTTGTCAAGTTCAGGTTGCTTCAAAATTCCCTTGTTTTTTCTTCATTGCAGGTCGAGCTGGCATATTTTGATCATGGAGGCATTTTGCAATATGTCATCAGGAATCTGATCAAAAGCTAGATCAACCAGAAAAGGCTATTGGCATGCAGGTGTAGTTCAACATTGTACCAATTTTTCCTCGAGTTCTAATAATCAACATGGTTCGGCAACAAAACGTTGTTTCAATCCCAGAGCTGACCCCAACTACATTATAAATAATGGAATATTGGTGGGAGTATTCTATTCTTGTATCAGAATATTCAGGCGTTTTAGTGTTTGTATTATTCGTGATGAATTTTTTTTTTGATACTATCGTGTCATTGATGGTTTTCTAAATTTTCCATTTTTAACTTTTTAACTTTTGGCTTATAAGGTGTGGAGGGCAATCAATGCGACCTTGTTTTCAGCTTGCTAGACTAAGTTATACATTTTAACGTTTTAAGTTGTGTTAACACATAACATGACAATTGATAACTTATTTTCAAAAGGTAGAATGTCAACCACAGTAAGTCACGTTATGGGAGTGATGCTCGTGCGTGCGTAAGTCACATTATCTAAGTGCTCTTGCGTACGTAATTAGTTGTAAGTTGTTGATGCAAAATAAGCCTTGCCTCTAACTGACAGCGTGTGAAATTGATGCTTCACGAAGCTCCCAACTGGCACCTACACATGCGTGCATTTGAATCATCCTTGTCTCGGGGTTTGGGGTGAACCTTTCATGGGTTGATTCCATACAAGAATGCATGAATTGATGAGATATAAGAAACATACAATTGGAACGTGCAATTTTTTGGTTTCCCGTGAATGAACAAGCTCGTTTCTTTTTACTGTTTCTTTTCAACAACTCTCAAATGTTCTAAGCCTTCTGAGAGTTGGAATTCCCATTAAAAAGAAAGAAGATCGATGTTTTATTTTATCAGGGGTTGTGATAACAAGAATATATAGCTAAGAAACAAAAATTGATTTAGTAGATGAGCAGCTGTAGTACATCAAAACCTAAGGGGCATGCAGGCGCCGATCGGTGTATTAGGTTACAAATGAGACTTGATGCACAAGTACTGAAGCTCTGGCTTGAGATGTTGACAAGTACTACAACATAAGAACTCGTATAGCCTGCCAGAGGTAATCATAAAAGAAAACAATATTATATAATTGAAATGTAGAAATAGCATGACAACATAACCTGAACCAAGCAATACATAAGAACAAAAGCATAGAACAGTCGATTGGCTGATTTTGGGAATTTGAGAAACTGAATGCGGTAGCTTTACAGAATGCAGCAACCATATAAACTGTTAGTTATCTATTTTGGGTATAGATAGTTACCTTTGGTATAATAGTTTAAATTTTGTACTCGTTGACACGCACCCATTTAGTAGATGACCATTTATTTCCTTTAATCACAGGGCATCCGCCTGAAATAAACAGGAGAGAAATTTGACTCATTATTAATAAAGGTATTAAAAGTCAGCATGTTTGTGAATGAACTAATAAAAGTTCAAAATCTGATGCACAAAAAAAATAAATTGAAATCTATGTTTTAAATTAGGATTAAATTCATAAAGGAGGCACACATAAACATGTCATTTTCCATGATGGATATTTTGGAATCATAGAAGCCTGAAATTGATGCTTCACAAAGCCAATAATTAATTATGAGTAAGCTACTAACCATGCAAACTTGAAGGATCTAGAGATGCATCAGGCCTCATGCTCCAGAAAAGCAATGCATCCCCCATCTTGGGTTTAACAGAAAGTCCCTTTTTCCCACATTCAGATAGCTCATCCCACCAAGGCACAGAACTAATATTCCCTTTGGCAGCAGGGAACACAGTCTCACCCCCTTCTTCAACATCTGAGCTGCACCACATGGGAGGAGAAAACATTTCCGAAGAATATTAGTGGGTCTATGTAGTGCACCAGAAGTAAGGGAGTTTAGGCAGACACACTATGAAACTTACAGGTACATGAGAACCGTAGCTATACGTTGACCTCCATTCCTAGTGTTGAACTCATCTTGAAAGTAGTCATAGTGAGGCTCATACTTCTGTCCAACTTCATAGTGGAGAACTTGAAGTCCCTCCCCGTGTTCTGTATTTCGTGTAAAAAACAGCTCGTGAATTGTATGGAACATGCATAGCTACATTATTAATAGATGAACATCATAGCTTTAGGTAAACATTGTAGTCCACATGAAGGCAGTACCTTCAACTTTAAGGCAGAAAAATCAGTAAAGGCACAAAAAATACATAAATAAGAGGGCATGAGCTCAACAGCATACCTACAGGTAAAAAGGTGAAATTAGCAATTCTCTTCTCAATGTTCCTGATAATTTTATCGCGCCCTCTTTGCAAAAATGTTCCAGAGCTTGTACGGACCCTGCATACAAGATATACAACAATTGCACCGCGCATGAGGGGATAAAGGCTAAAGCAAGGGAATGAAAAGAAAGACAACAGATTTTCCCATCTACATCTTTTAACTGAAATGACACAAGAGAATGAAGTGAGAAACCAAGACCTGCTATCTTTGCTCTTTCCAGTTTCACTATCAACTACTGTTGACTTGTGCATACTAGGTTTGGCAAGATCGATTAGATATTCACATTCCTCCTTGGTCTGCCAAAATTAGCCAACTGGGTTCAGCTTTTGGTGAATTTAGATTGCATCAAATCCAGGTATATATGAAGCTTTAATTTCACCCAAATGCATATGCAATTACGTTAATTCCACACTAAATACTACCCAAGATATATTGGCACAATTATCAGAAACTCCAACACACCATAGATGCTCATTTCCATTTTTTACGAAAATACAAGCTACTAATTCAGAAACATCATAAATTCTTCATGAGTGAGAGAGTTAAAGCGAGCTCACCAAGAAATTGTGATAGACAAATGCTCTCGGCTCCCATGAGATGACTTCGACCCACTGCTCCCCTGCCCCTTCTTCTTCATTTCTATTAAAGTCAAAACAATTACCAAATTACCAACCAGAATTGAAACAAAAAACAAAAAACAAAAAAACTCAAACCGACCCATCACGCACCTGTCGGCGCTCTTCCGTACAATCGAGCTGAGATCGTTTGCCTTGGCCGAGTTGCCGGAGGAGCCGCTCGGGAGCGAGAGTATTCCCAGTGCGAGAAGAATGAGGATCACGAAAGTGAACATGACGAGCAAAGTGAGGACCAGCGTGGAGGAAGAAGACGATGTTTTGCGAGTCTGAAGGCGCGCGTGCCTTGGCTTAACCGCCATTGATCTGTGCGAGATTGAGATTGAAACCTAGAGATTAAGATCGAGGATTAGATTTGGAAACTGGAACAGCAAGATCTGAAGGTCTGCGATGAGAGATTTGATTATATTAGAGCATCTAAATAGTCTTACGTCTACCCTCTACAACCTCTTACGCGCTTTTGTTTTCAAAGTCTCAAATTAAAATCCCAGTACTGTATCTGCTTATAAATCGTATTTAATTCCCTTTTGCCTTTTTTATGTTTCTTCTATCTTTTTATATATGCAATTATTCTCAAGAAAAGGAAAATTATTAATAACAACTTCCCCTTTGTCAAAATAACAATTATCCATGTCTTAGCCCTCAACACATTAGGTGTTCCTTTTGTCAAAATACTACTCTTGAAGTGTTACGTTTTTCTTTGTCGGATAATCGGACATGTTCAACTTCTTTTAATACATTAATTCTTATTAAAATATATGAATGTGCGGTTCAAATTAACAATATGATTAGGCCTATTTGAGGTCTTTTGAGATAAAATCTAGAGCCGCATTGACCATTCGACCGATTGCTACAAATACTACGGTTGATTGAGATTTTGAGGTTAATAATTAGAGATCCAAAGTTTGATGTCTCAAAATGTTTGAGGTTTGCAATTACAAGTTATTCTATACATATTTCAGTGAAGTTAGGAAGGGTATACTGATGTTGATATTCTTGTTAATTGGGATTGGCTGCTAACAATCCAACATTTGAATTTGGACCTTCCAGTTGAAGCATGTATATTGAGCAGAAAAAACTAGACAAAATTTTGAGAATATTCAGAAAGACAGCATCCTATTATGCTGAACAGAAACAGAAAAACTGCAGTACAAACCAAAACAACAAAGGGACTTTTTTCTTTACACTACATCCCAATTAAATTCTGTGGTTTTGTTTAGAAATACACCACTTGATGAAATCAATGCTTGCAAAGGCTGCAAACCTTTACTTATTCCGAAGAGACATGCAATTCATGAACCATTTTCAATCCAATCAATTGAAGCAGCTGCTGATCAGCTGGTCTAAAACACACCAAGAGAGGCAGGGTAGAGAGGGGTGGGCTTATAGGCATAACAATTGGGAACGTATGTGGAGGTGCGCCTTTTCGGAGGCTCCATGGACTCTATGGATGGCTGGTTCAAGTATGCATACTTGCTCTTTGTCCACCTGCAAACATGTTTGTTTAAAATCTCTGTTGAGAGAACTTTGAGAATTTTCAAGCAGACTTATTAATGAACTTGCTTAAGCCATTTGATTGATTGAGACAAATTAACTCACCAGTCCTTAATCCCAACGCGAACTTCGTCGTTGTTTCCATCCTTGTTGCTGTCATTAGTGGCTGCAGAAGAGCTATCAGTATCGTTGGCTTTGTCGTCGTCGTCGTCATTCAAGGACTCCTCAAAACGTCTGTAATCTTCCTCCTATACACCATACACCTTCAACAAGTTAAGCAAATGTAAGAAATTCAAATACTTCTTTCAGCCTACCCTCCTAACAATTCATTTTGAAGTCTTTTCTTTTGCCAAGAGATTCTGCATAATTGCAAAAACTAGGCTGCAATGAAGATTTGATCATCTCTCTTAAAATTTTAGCCAAAGCCCCTTTGAATGCATGGCTTTTTAACTTGTGTCATGAAAAATCTTACCGAGAGCTTGAGGGCTCTAATACGTGCTACAGCCTTGATAGCAGCGAGGAGGTGCTCCTCTTCCTCAATGCGCTTCTGAAACCAGAACCTGGCAATTTCTCGCTTTGTCACACTCTCCGGCGCAGCCTTCTTAGCCCAGAACCTTGGAAGTGGTGGTGGTGGTGGAGGCCGTGACGCCGGTGCCTCCTCTATTTGCTTCATCTTCATGCTCATCCTTTTGCCTACTTGAATTCGCAACGGGGAAAGATTGCAATATGGCGGAAGGAATAACTAATGATTGAAAGTCTTGGATATCGATTTTCATGACCGACCCTCCATAGCTACTGCTCCAACCTAACTTTCAAACATGACTGATAGCTTCGTTTTCCAGTCACAATGCCCATTTCTATTCTTTAATCTGTTATTTTACAAAGGTGGGTTGAATTTTAATTTCATATCAGTTAGCTGGAGGTGTTGCTCGTGAAGAAGAAGCACAAAATACAAAGAAAAATTGACTGGTAGTTGCAGATCGAAACTTCGAGTAAGATTGAGAATTTAGATTGCAGTAACTCCCCACCTAAATATTTTGGCAGAATGTTCTTAATTCCAAGCATCCAAAAAAGTCCACCGACAAATGTACTTTTAGTTGCCTAATCATCTTTTTAATTTCATAATTGGATTCCTGTTCTTCAACCATTAAGAAAATAGGCTGCTGCCTGCCCAAAACGAAAAGTCCACAGCTTTAGCCTCAAATTGAAACAACAAGAGAAACAGGGGATTTTTTTCCCCCAAATTTCCCAGAAAATGCACCTGGATTTTGCTGTTTTTAATGCAATAATTTTTGTGGGAACCCAGAATTATATCAAAAATTTTAGACTTAAGATTAATTACAAATTTAATACGATCTTCTTCAACCACAAGACAAAGTATATAGAATCAACAGAATCAAAAACACAAAAGACCCTTTACAGTATGTGAAAAAAAAAAACTTCAAACATTACAGAAACAATTCTCAGAATTCCAACTAAGTCCCAGACGATGAAACACGAAGGGCCTTGGTCTTGAATCTATATCTAGCAGCTCTGGGAATGACCTGGCTGGGCCCCATGTGGAACTGACCTGGACTGTCAGTCATGGGGGGGCCATCATCGTAGATATGCCCGACGAGCCGCCCGCAGCCGTTGCACTTGATCTTGGTCCTGGTCCTCTGGATGCCCCAGTAGTTTCTGGTTTCGAAAAAGGGCCTGATCTTGTCCTCCTTCTCGAACCTGAACTTGGTGCCGTCGACCCACGAAAACGACAGCGTTCCCTTGTTGCCGGCCTCGAAGAAGAAGTCCGGTGGGTAGAGATAGGAGGCGCTCAGGTTCAGGTTTGCCCCGCACTCCGTGCAGGTGTAGATCGAATCGGAAGCCATTGTTGAGTTGAATTTGGGTTTGGAGAAGAAGACGTTTCGCATTTTGGCGTTTGGTTTTTGAGCTGACGGGTAGAGAGGTGAGGAGAATTTTCCAAACCGCGTTTGGCTACGTGGCGTGGAAAATCAGGTGGACCCCATCACAGATGCGATGGGTGATCCAATGTGAAAATACAACCCGACCCATCTATTGCGAGCAAATAAGTACAGCCAATTTTCTAATATTTGATTGGCCATTTGGAACTTTGGGGCATAATTAGGTCTCGTGTTTGGTCATGATGAAATACCGAGATTGTCCATTTATATATATTTTTCTCAATTTTAAATCATTTTAAAAAATGAGTTAAAAAGCAAAAACTATAAATAAGAGTAAAATGTGTTGTAAAATAGACGGGAATATGAGAGTAATAAATAATGTGAAAGTGTGGGCCCTATTTACTTTTTAATTCTTTGATGTTAAATAAATGCATGAATCCTCAATAGGTGGAATTCAATTCTTTATTAGTAAACACACCATTAGTGAAATTGTATGTAATTTCTTGATGCTATAATGAGTAGAATTTGCTCATCTCTAACATTTATCAGCGTATTTATTCCTATTATTAATCATGTTAACTACATAGACCAAATTAATCTTCAATTTACACACAATTTAATGAATTTGTTGTAGCATACATCCAAAGTCTTTTCCTTTTTCGATAGGGTAAACTACTGAAATGCCATTTGAACTTGTACCTAATTATCAATTTACCCCATGACCTTTTTTTTTTACAAAATTAAGGACTTGAATTAAATTTTATTCTCAATTCCCCCCTTACTGTCCAAATCAATAACATTTCATCCAATAATCCGTCAAATCATTAGAAAAAATTAAAGAAAAAAAAGAAAAAAAAATCTTATGGACCCACCCAGCCCACCCCCTGCGTCTCCTTCTCCAACCTATTCCCCCTTAACCTGCAACAAAATCCCACCATTTTTTTTCTTGCCAAAGTGATTTCTCAAGCTCATTTTGCTTGCTTGAAGACCACTCTGTCCAAAAACCTCTCTCTCTCTCTAAGCATCTCCTCAATTTCATTTTGGTACCATCCCATATATAAGCTCTCAAAGCTTTAAACTAAACCCTTTCAATCTCTCTCTCCCCAAAACTCAAAAAAGCTCTCATCTTTCTCTCTCTAAGTTTCTATACACACACAGACCGTGTATTCTCTCTCTACAGAGAGATATATATAATCAAATCCAACCATATATCTTTGTCTTGTCTCTCTCTCCTATCTTCTCAGACTCTCAGAAAGCTTCTAAATTTTCATATCCATGTCCTCAGAATCATCGTCTACAATTGCTCCTTTTTTCCCCACAGCCTTAAAGGTCCAGACCTCTTCACCTCACAAGTTCATTGCCCCTTCACCCAAAATCTCAACCCAAAATCGCACAACTCATTAATGGATTCAAGATCTGAATAAAATGGGGCTATTTGGAGGGTGAGGGCTGATGGGTTTTGTCGCATAGAGAGAGAGAGAGGGGCAGAGTTTCAGAGAGAGGGAGTCGTAGGGAGAGAGGGAAGAAAGGGTGAGTGGGTCCCACCCCTCTGTTTATTAAAATATTTTTTTTTTTCATTTTATATGTCATACTATTGTATTTTACAGTATTTAATTATTTTTAACATATGAAATGACCAATTTGCCCTCATATTTAACGGCAAATTGGATGAAATGTTGATGATTTAGACGGCAGAAGGAACATTGATAATAAAATTTAATTCGAGCCCTTAATTCGCTAAAAAAAATGTCAGGGGATAAATTGATAGTTATGTACAAGTTTAGGGGGCAATTCGGCAAAAAATAAAGTCTTCCCTTTTTAATGACCCTCTGTTTGGATAATAAATTGAAAAATACATAGAATTTTAAAATAACATAATTTAGATTTCCATCATTTCAATTTCTGGCAATTGAAGATTTTAGTGTTTGGATTTATGTATGTTGAATTTTGTAAATGACACTATGAAAATTATAAAACGATGCCTATTTTGGTGAAAATTAAAATCGGGAATTTGATACCCTAATTTCCACGATTTTTTCCGCGCATCACTTAATAAATTCTATGCTTAAGTTGTCAAAAAAGGGAATTGTCAATTTTTCCTATTAAATTCCGAGTTATTTTCCCTCATCCCAAATGAGGGTAAGATCAGCTTCTTCACTTTTTATCATTGGTTGCAAAGACTTAAAACATCCGTGTAGTGTGTGTAAGTTTAATATACTATCGCCCCTCTTAATAACAAATGTCTTAAAAAAACATGTTTGGCACTCGTTTTTAATAGGGTCTAAAAGCATAAATAATTAGAAGCCGTTTACGATAATATTTAGCATAAAAACTTAAAAATGTTTATGTGTTATACAAATATGTTTTCGTACTTTCTGTTTTATAGAAGTACTTTGAAGTACCTTTTCAGAAATCAATTGAATTTTTATCAAACAAAATTTGTTGTGCTTTCTAACAAAAGCATACCCAAAATAAAAAAACAGAAATATTTGAGTTGACATTGGGCCTATACTGTATGGGCTCATGTCATTATTGTACCCTTATGTTCTAAAGATCTTGTTTCATTATGCGCTTAGGCCACCCCAACACAGAAGAAATGTAAATATTGTCGTATGAGGATATTATTGACATTTCACCTATCATTACGGATAAGTTCGATTTGCTTTGGCGCCACGCATATGGAGGAGGCAAGGCAACAATAGTTAAAATTATAGGGTAATTTCGTCTTTCAAAAATTATTATTATTATCATTTTTTTATTTTCAATAAGTCGGTAGCCCCTAGGTTCACCTATTTCGCCTATAAATACACGCTTAGTGCTTCATTCTCCTCTGTTTTGTTGGAGACTCTCTCGAAGAGTTCCAGAGAAGGTCGAGCAAAATCGATCTCTCGCAGTCGGCATAAACAGAATTCAAATTAAACCGAAAAATAGAAAGAGAAAACAGAACATAAAGAAAACCCAAAATATAAAGAGAAACAGTTCGTTATTTCCACTGAATTTCACTCACTCACACCTTGTCTGAAAACCCTAGGTTTTTTTTTCTTTCCATAATCGATCGAAGATCGCCATGGATATACGCTTCCCATTCTCGCCGGCGGAGGTTGCCAAAGTCCGCTGTGTTCAGTTCGGCATTCTGAGCCCGGACGAAATAGTAATTTCCGTTTCCTCTCTATTCTTCGTTTTATCTTTCTATTCTCGTCTGTTTGTTTGCTGAGAAAGGAAATCAATGGAAAAAGAAATGGAAATCCTGTAACTGCTTATGCTTCTGCTTTCTCTTGCGAGTTTTTAAATTCGAAAGCTCTTTTACTGAGCTTGTTCGATTGAGTAGGGATTGGATGAAGTGTTAGGGTTTGATGAATATTGTATTTAGGTTTCAAATTCGAAAGCTCTTTTACTGAGCTTGTTCGATTGAGTAGGGATTGGATGAAGTGTTAGGGTTTGATGAATATTGTATTTAGCTTTCAAATTCGAAAGCTCTTTACTAAGTTTGTTAGATTAAGTAGTGATTGGATGAAGTGTTAGGGTTTGATGAATATTGTATTTAGGTCAATCGGAGAATGCTGAAGCCTTTTATGTGTTTTGTTTGCAGAGGCAAATGTCTGTAGTGCAGATTGAGCACAGCGAGACCATGTTGGGAGGCAAACCCAAGACGGCAGGTTTAAGTGATCCTCGGCTTGGTACAATTGACAGAAAGATGAAGTGCGAAACATGTACGGCCAACATGGCTGAGTGCCCGGGCCATTTTGGGCACCTTGAGCTTGCCAAACCAATGTTTCACATTGGTTTCATGAAGACGGTGTTGTCAGTAATGCGATGTGTTTGCTTCAATTGCTCAAAAATTCTAGTCGATGAGGTACTTAGAAGCCTTAAATTATCTCTGCAAACTAGTCTTCGGCTTTGTTTAATTGACTTTCAAGAACAACCTTATTTATGTTGGCAAACATTAAATTGGTAACCATGTTACTCTTTTGAGATAGATTGAAAGGTCATTTGGAAGTACTTGGCTGTTTTATACCCCGTTTGTAAACTTGATGGTTATTTTGGTGGCTTGAACGAATACAATGCATATCTTTCTATCCTCAGTGGTGTATGGGATTTTCTAATGCATAAAACAAGTCTGTCATTAACAAAGTGGTTTGTTGGAAGAAATAGAGAGGAAAAAGATTAATTAGGAAGAAGTTTAACAGCGGACACTTCTTATGATTAGGAAAAATAGGAGTGAGGAATTAGTTTCTTCTTTTATGTGTGCATATTGTAGGAGTGTTTCCTAGGCACAAACCTTTAATTGTGCGCATTTCATTTTTGTCATGAAATGAGCTATTACCGTAAAGTTTCCTTTATATGGGATATGTTATTTTTGGAGACAACGATTATGGCAAGGCTTGCTTTCCGTAAAATTTAATTCTTAATGATCAACAATTTCTCTTACCTATTTGTTGATGTTTCATTGTGTTGGCTGTGTTTGCCTCAAGGATTCTGAAAAGGTTTTTGTTTCAAAAAAAATCTTAAAGCTTAAGTCTAGACAATTGTTAATCGTAACAAGTTTTATGCGACTTTGTTTTGCAGGATGATCACAAGTTTAAGCAGGCTTTGAGAATTAAGAGCCCAAAAAATAGGCTAAAAAAGATTTTGGATGCATGCAAAAACAAAACCAAATGTGATGGTGGTGATGAAATTGATGTCCAAGGTCAGGAATCTGAAGAACCTGTAAAGAAAAGTCGTGGCGGCTGTGGTGCTCAGCAGCCCAAGCTCTCTATAGAGGGTATGAAAATGAATGCAGAGTACAAAGCCCAACGGAAGAAAAGTGATGACCAGGAACAGCTCCCTGAACCTGTGGAAAGGAAACAGACACTTACTGCAGAAAGGGTTGGCATACTTCAATTAGACGGATTCTTCCTTTTATCACACTTGCATGATGCTAACATATTGTTGAATTTGTTTTAGGTTCTTAGTGTCTTAAAAAGGATAAGTGATGAGGACTCCCAGTTATTGGGATTGAACCCTAAATATGCTCGTCCTGACTGGATGATTTTACAAGTTCTGCCTATTCCTCCACAACCTGTGAGACCCTCTGTGATGATGGACACCTCATCCAGGAGTGAGGTAAGCTTCTTTTGTGCAGTTTTTCTCTGTTTAGAGACCAGTAACAAGCTGAAAATTTTAGTGGCTGAAGAGATAATCTAGGCATTTGTTGTTGGTGATCACTGACTTCATATGTTTTCTGTGTCCAGGATGATTTAACACATCAGTTAGCCATGATTATTCGTCACAATGAGAATCTGAGGAGACAGGAAAGAAATGGGTCACCTGCTCATATAATTTCAGAGTTTGCACAACTGTTGCAATTCCACATAGCCACATATTTTGACAATGAGTTGCCTGGACTACCGAGGGTATGTGTACATGGGAACATATTTCTTCATAGTAGCTATATGCTTTTATATTGTCTTTATTTGTATTTATATACATATAAACTTCTGTTAACTCGTAAGATTTTTTTTTTTCATGCATATGCTGAACCTTTTCTTTACTGAACAGGCTACTCAGAGATCAGGGAGGCCTATTAAATCAATATGTAGTAGGCTTAAGGCAAAGGAAGGCAGAATAAGAGGAAATTTAATGGGGAAGCGAGTTGATTTCTCGGCACGGACAGTGATTACTCCTGATCCAAACATAAACATTGATCAATTAGGAGTACCATGGAGTATTGCTTTGAATCTCACGTACCCAGAGACTGTGACTCCATATAATATTGAAAGGTAAACTTTCTTTGTTTATTTTCTCATCTTTGTGCGTTTCTACCTTTTTCTTTTCTTCTTCAGTTCATTCTATTTTCTATTATTGGAATATTCTTCAATTTAAAAAATAAAAAAAAAACAGGTTGAAGGAGCTTGTTGAGAATGGGCCCCATCCTCCACCTGGTAAAACTGGTGCGAAGTATATAATACGAGATGATGGGCAAAGGCTTGATCTTCGTTACTTGAAGAAAAGCAGTGATCATCATTTGGAGCTTGGATATAAGGCATCGCTCTTTTATTCTGATAAGTTTTGATCTGGGTCCTTCCTATTTAAGAATCACTTCTGAACTTCTACTATTGTGGTCTCAGGTGGAGCGTCATTTGAATGATGGAGACTTTGTCCTCTTCAATCGTCAACCTAGTCTCCATAAAATGTCTATTATGGGGCACAGAATCAAGATCATGCCGTACTCAACTTTTCGCTTGAATTTGTCTGTGACCTCTCCATACAATGCCGACTTTGACGGGGACGAGATGAACATGCATGTTCCTCAGTCTTTTGAAACTAGGGCAGAAGTACTGGAGCTCATGATGGTGCCCAAGTGCATAGTGTCTCCTCAGTCAAATCGACCTGTGATGGGAATTGTGCAGGATACCCTTTTAGGGTGTCGTAAGATTACCAAGAGGGATACCTTCATAGAGAAGGTAATTGTGACCTGACCATTGTTGCCCCCTCCTGAAAATTGTGTTTTTCATTAGCTTCATAGTCTTATATTGAGTGATTCTTTTCAGGATGTTTTTATGAATATTTTGATGTGGTGGGAGGATTTTGATGGAAAAGTTCCTGCTCCTGCAATTTTGAAGCCACGGCCATTGTGGACTGGCAAGCAAGTCTTCAATCTTATAATACCAAAACAGATAAATCTCCAAAGGACTTCTGCATGGCACTCGGAAGCAGAAAGTGGCAACATTACCCCCGGAGATACTTTTGTTAGAATAGAGAAGGGGGAGCTACTTGCTGGAACACTTTGCAAGAAGACACTTGGGACATCTACTGGAAGTCTGATACATGTCATATGGTATGCAATTTTACTCTATTTAGTTCAGAAATGGATTCATTTGTGTGTTAATTTTTTTCTTAAAAGAATGTAGCAGCACTTTTATGCACAGAACAGACCAGAATCTTGGTTGCTTTGATGTGTATGTCATGATATGTTGGTGTAAGCCCAATATAGTCTAACCAAAAGCTTGGAACTTTTCAATCTTTTGTTGGACTTGTGAAGTATATGATATGACATAATGGATCTAAATTGGAAATATCTTCATTTTAGGCACAAAAAAAAAAAGGTTCCACTTCCATCTGAGTATCAAGCATATAATTTGACCACCTTGACAAAAAATAAAATTCAACAAGAAGAGAAGTTTAATGGATTGAATTTTCTCGTTGTGCAGGGAAGAAGTTGGCCCAGATGCAGCTCGCAAGTTCCTGGGTCATACCCAATGGCTTGTTAACTACTGGCTACTCCAAAATGCTTTTAGCATTGGAATTGGAGATACAATTGCTGATGCTGCAACAATGGAGAAAATCAATGAAACAATTTCAAAGGCGAAAAATGAAGTGAAAGATCTTATAAGTAAAGCCCAATCCAAGCAGCTGGAGGCTGAACCTGGACGAACCATGATGGACTCATTCGAAAACAAAGTGAACCAGGTTTGTTTTTATTTTTTGTGTGTGTGTGCAATTTATTCTGGTTTCGTTGCCTACTGTTAAGTGATAATATATTTGGTTTGGTTAGGTTTTGAATAGGGCTCGTGATGATGCTGGAAGTAGTGCTCAAAAGAGTTTATCGGAGAGCAACAATCTTAAAGCCATGGTTACAGCAGGGTCCAAAGGGAGTTTTATCAACATATCCCAGATGACTGCTTGTGTGGGGCAGCAGAACGTTGAGGGTAAGCGTATCCCTTACGGGTTCATAGACCGGACATTGCCCCACTTCACTAAAGATGATTATGGACCAGAAAGTCGTGGATTTGTAGAAAATTCCTACCTGCGTGGGTTAACTCCACAGGAGTTCTTTTTTCATGCAATGGGTGGGAGGGAAGGTCTTATAGATACCGCAGTCAAGACATCTGAGACTGGGTACATTCAAAGGAGACTGGTGAAGGCTATGGAGGATATTATGGTCAAATATGATGGCACTGTCAGAAATTCATTGGGGGATGTTATACAGTTTCTTTACGGGGAAGATGGGATGGATGCTGTTTGGATAGAATCACAAAAGCTGGATTCTTTAAAGATGAAAAAAACAGAATTTGATAAGACTTTTTCGTATGAGCTTGATGATGAAAATTGGAATCCAGACTACATGTTGCATGAACATGTTGAGGATCTCAAAACTATTAGAGAGTTTCGCAATGTGTTTGATGCAGAGGTTCAGAAACTTGAAACAGACAGATTACAACTTGGAACAGAGATAGCAGTAACAGGTGATAATTCTTGGCCATTGCCTGTTAACCTGAAGAGGCTCATTTGGAATGCACAAAAAACCTTTAAGATTGACTTCCGAAGGACTTCCGATATGCACCCGATGGAAATCGTGGAAGCTATTGATAAGCTCCAGGAGAGGCTGAAGGTTGTTCCTGGTGATGACTTGTTGAGTGTTGAAGCTCAAAAGAATGCTACACTGTTTTTCAGCATTTTACTTCGCAGCACTTTCGCTAGCAAACGGGTGTTGGATGAGTACAGGCTTACTCGTGAAGCATTCGAGTGGGTTATTGGGGAGATAGAGTCACGCTTCCTGCAATCACTTGTAGCACCTGGCGAAATGATTGGTTGCGTTGCTGCACAATCTATTGGTGAGCCTGCCACTCAGATGACACTGAATACTTTCCACTATGCTGGTGTGAGTGCAAAGAATGTTACCCTAGGTGTTCCCAGGTTGAGGGAAATTATTAATGTGGCTAAGAGAATCAAAACACCATCTCTGTCTGTCTACTTAAAGCCTGAAGCTAATAAAACAAAGGAGAGGGCGAAAAATGTCCAGTGTGCTTTGGAATACACCACTCTCCGAAGTGTAACTCAAGCTACAGAAGTGTGGTATGATCCAGACCCCATGAGCACAATAATTGAAGAGGATGTTGATTTTGTCAACTCTTACTATGAAATGCCAGATGAAGAGGTTAACCCTGATAAAATTTCTCCTTGGTTGCTTCGCATTGAGTTGAATCGCGAAATGATGGTGGATAAGAAGTTGAGCATGGCTGACATTGCTGAGAAGATCAATCTTGAATTTGATGATGATTTAACTTGTATATTCAATGATGACAATGCGGAAAAGTTGATCCTTCGAATCCGTATCATGAATGCTGAAGCTCCAAAAGGGGAATTGGTTGATGAATCCGCTGAAGATGATGTATTTTTGAAGAAGATTGAGAGTAACATGCTGACAGAAATGGCTCTTCGAGGTATCCCAGATATTAACAAAGTGTTCATTAAACATGGTAAAGTTAACAAGTTTGATCCGAATGAAGGATTTAAAGCAGAGCAAGAGTGGATGCTGGATACAGAAGGTGTTAATCTTTTAGCTGTCCTGTGCCATGATGATGTTGATGCCAGGAGGACAACGAGTAATCACTTGATTGAAATTCTTGAAATTCTTGGAATTGAGGCAGTTCGTCGGTCACTGTTGGATGAGTTGCGTGTTGTTATATCTTTCGATGGGTCTTATGTGAATTATCGGCATCTGGCTATCCTTTGTGATACCATGACTTATCGTGGGCACTTGATGGCCATTACTCGTCATGGCATCAATCGAAATGACACCGGTCCCATGATGAGGTGCTCATTTGAAGAAACTGTCGATATTCTTCTTGATGCTGCAGTGTTTGCAGAAACAGATTATTTGAGAGGTGTAACTGAAAACATAATGTTAGGCCAGCTTGCACCCATTGGCACAGGAGACTGTGCCCTGTATCTCAATGACGAGATGTTGAAGAATGCAATTGAACTCCAGCTACCTAGTTATATGGATGGTCTTGATTTCGGTATGACACCATCTCGTTCTCCAGTGTCGGGAACTCCATATCATGAGGGCATGATGTCTCCAAATTATTTGCTGAGCCCAAACCTTCGTCTGTCACCCATTTCAGATGCCCAGTTTTCTCCCTATGTTGGAGGAATGGCATTCTCTCCTACTTCATCTCCGGGCTACAGCCCATCATCCCCTGGCTACAGTCCGTCCTCCCCTGGATACAGTCCCACATCCCCTGGTTATAGTCCCACCTCGCCCGGGTACAGCCCCACTTCTCCTGGGTACAGTCCCACCTCTCCAACCTATAGTCCTAGTTCTCCAGGTTATAGTCCAACCAGTCCGGCCTATTCTCCTACAAGTCCATCATACTCACCCACCTCACCCAGCTATAGCCCCACTTCTCCAAGTTACAGTCCCACTTCTCCAAGTTACAGTCCCACTTCTCCAAGTTACAGTCCAACTTCACCAAGTTACAGTCCAACATCACCTGCTTACAGCCCGACATCACCTGCTTACAGCCCGACTTCACCTGCATATAGTCCCACATCACCTTCCTACAGCCCTACATCGCCTTCCTATAGCCCTACATCACCTTCCTACAGCCCAACGTCGCCCTCCTACAGCCCCACATCTCCATCCTACAGCCCAACCTCACCGGCCTACAGCCCAACTTCTCCTGGTTACAGCCCAACTTCTCCCAGCTATAGCCCCACATCTCCAAGTTACAATCCTCAGTCAGCCAAATACAGTCCATCGTCGGCATACTCTCCAAGCAGTCCAAGAATGTCACCATCTAGTCCATATAGTCCTACGTCTCCAAATTACAGGTGAGCTGTCTATCGAACTGCACTTATGGCATCAGAGTTGCTGAGTGTGGTTGACTGATCAGTGCTTATGAGTGGGATTATTACTCTCACATGATTTATAAGCCTCTGCAGTTCCTTGCTCATTGACTTGCCGCTTATAATTGTTAAGGAAATCTCATGACTCCTTGTGTTTTTTTTTTACCAGCCCAACTTCACCATCGTATTCACCTACGTCTCCATCTTACTCTCCTTCAAGCCCCACGTACAGTCCTGGAAGGTAAGCTTCCTTTGTTTGGTCACCTCTGACCACACTTCCTATATTCCTTTCTAATTTAGTATTTTTGGAGTCTACTTGGTATTTGTGTGTGTATTAATTTGTTGAAAAATGTCTATTTTTTTCTTTCTAATTTTGTTCTTGTTCAGCCCATTTACCTCTGGAGTGAGCCCAGATTATAGTCCAAGTTCTCCACAATACAGGTAAACTGGGAAACAATACACTTGCTAGATATTTCTTGTTTTGATCTTCATTGTGCTGTGCCGAAATACTTATCTGTTTTCCTCGTTGCTTTTGTTTCCATGCAGTCCAAGTGCTGGGTACTCACCGAGTCAACCTGGGTACTCGCCGTCATCTACTAGCCAGTACACGCCTCAAACGAGCGAGAAGGATACTAAGGATGACAGAAGCACTCGTTAATGCATTTTACATTTAGAAGTTTGAGATGATGTAGAGGTATATTTTTCTTCAAGCTTTTATCTTGTGGGTGCCTATTAAATTGAGTGAGAATTTCCCTTTGTGCTCCAGGTTGATTACTGCCTATAACGCAATTCGTTCTGAAAATGCTCTTTTTAACATAATTTTTTTTGGGGTTATTAGGATTTTTTTTGTTTCTATGTCATCAGTTCTGTGCATCCTTCTGTTATTTATAAATGCCACTCATGTTTTATCTATCTGAATCTACAGCAGCTCACCTGCAGCTATCAGAGAACCTGGACTTCTAATGTGGATAGGTTGATGGAAGTGGGGAGTCGCATTAAAGTTGGACGATCAACTGCAGGATGTAAGCTGGTTTCGCAGCATATCCATGTCTAGGTTGCTTCCCGTATATAGCCCGAGACTAGATTTTACGTGTTTTACTACTAGCGGTCGATTTTACATTGAAAAAAGACCCACTCCTGGTCGTGTATCTCAACTTTGGACCACCTTTTTGGTTTCGGTTCCAAAAACTTTGCAACTGTACTATTTCATATTGCACATCTAATTTGTTCAGGTGCACTGCGTGTAATCAAAATAGTTTGGCTCTCGATCTTATTGTAATTGTAATTTTGACATTCTAGCAGGACATTATCCTCTCTAGATTAGCAAGTTTGGTTTTGAACTGTGAACAAAAAGTTCATAATTTGTTAAATTTGTCGTCACACGTTGCTAGCCTTCCCTATCCTAAGCTCTTCTTTTAAAAATCGTTGACCCCTTTGGATGTAACCTTCCAACACAAACTTGAACGATGAGGAATTAACAAAACGTTTGACATTCGAGAATGGCATGCCAAGTGGAGCTTGCACTGGTAATGCAATTATTTAATTCTAGGCGGCAAAAACCCTTCTCACCATTGCAGTACACTGTCTCTGAAGAGGTCAACAATCTCATTCCCTCTCCGGCTCTTCCAAAGCCTCTAAAGACCTCTCTCTCTCTCTCTCTCTCTCTCTCTCTCTCTCATATAAACACACAAGTATACAACAAACACAGCTAGAAGAGCTGCAAAAACAATTAAACTGAAAATCAATGGAGAAACAATCAAGACTTATTGGGAGCAGAATTCTGAAGCTTTTATCAAAAGCTGCACAGCCTGCAGTCACATACCACAGCCCACCTCCCAGCCCTAGAAAAGCCTCAGGTCCAATGATATCACTCATACCCTCTGAGGCCAGAAGGAAGCCCAGAAATGGAATTACCTTTGGTCCAAAAGAACCCACTTCTCCAAAAGTCTCATGCATGGGCCAAATCGAGGGCAAGCAGAAGAAGAAGAAGAAAAACCAAAGTAAAAGCAAGAGGGCTTGCCCTCCACCACAAGAAAGCACCACCTGCAATCTAGTTTCATGTGTTCCTAAAGAGGTGAAGAAAAAGACATCAAACGGTTTGCCCAAGGAAGCCCCACCAAAAGAAGGTGATGAAAATGACAACAATAACCCTGATGGTTTGGCGGGCGGCTCATCAAGAGGTCCAGAGAGAGTGCCTTCTTTGGGTCAGATGAGGAGGTTTGCAAGTGGTCGTGGTGTGCTGGCGGATTTTGACATGATATTGGAGATTCATGATGATCAATTGGGTGATGTGAAAAATAGGGTGGGTGGGGCTAGTCAAGAAGGAGATTGATGTTAGTATGGACCAGAAGAAAGAAGTTACTTTGAGAAAAAGAAGAACCATTTCTCCTCATCCAAAGCCTCTTCCATTGTAAAAACACATGTGCAAAAAAATTGATCAATGTTTATGGGCTGTTTATGAAAATTGTTGTGGCAATACTGATCAGTAACTCTTGATAATTTTTTAAACCAAGATGGTTTTTCCTGCAAACCAAACAAACATTTGAAGACCTGTTCAGCTGACTGGTTGTGGTCCTAAAGGGCTGGCTCTGTGGCTGCAATTTTTAAACGCATGTAAAATGCTTGACACTTGTTTCCTAGAAATGAAATTCATTCTTTACAAGATACCAAACCCTTCTTTCCTAGGGCAGCTGTAGCATCAAAATTTTAAGTTGCAGTGTCTTCAAGCCATCCTTCACAGCAGCAGCCCCGCTAGCCATGTGGGTTTCTATATTTTTGGAATAAAGAATTGGACAGATATTTTGGGTTTTGGATTTGGTTTGTTTCTCAATGAGGAAATAAAATAATTATTTTGTGAAGATTATGTTTGTGGTAGTCAGAGTGAGGGTAGGATATCTTACCAACTAGACTGATAATGATTTGAGGGCAGTAGTAGGGTAAGATGTAGGCTAAATGAGTAAAGCAACTTGAGGAAACTTTTGTCCCAAAAAAAAGAAACTTGAGGAAACTTTCTACTTTTCCACGATTCTCTTCTTTTAAACGTAAAAGTATTCAAAAGTTGGATTTAAAATCTCATAAGGAATAAACAAGCACCTAATCAAGGCAAAGTTAATTAAATATTAGGTTATGACACTATTCCTAGAGTATGCTGATTGCATTCTGACTGGCAAAAAGGAGCCAGAAACAGCTACTAAATGGAAAAAATCTTTCTTATAACGGGAGTTTCTTTCCAAAACATGTATGAAAAATGTGGTAATTTTCCGACATGACTCGATTTGGCAAGCATAAACAATCTGATTTTAAAATTATACTAATATGGATTAATATGAATTCTAATAGAATTATAAAGTTTCTTTGAGAATAAAACGTGACAAGAATATGAAATAATATAGAGTCGATTAATATAAAAGATTTTATATGATTTGTCATGCCTAATATTAAAATGGGCTGGTGTTGATTGACGCTATAAGTAGTTGGTGGAGCCACAAACTCAATACAAGAAAGGAAATGAAACGATGGGTCCATATGAAGCGTGGACATGTTCTAATTGTTCATGGGTCTCACTCCAAGTATCCAAACCAAACCAATTTTTTTTGCATTAAAAAACAAAAAAAAAACCAATTTTTGTAACGGACACTAACTTCCCACTCCACACTCATCCCCTTCCCTCTTCTCCTCCGTCACTCACAACCTTCTCTGTCAATATTATAAGATTTCACGAGATTTAAAATCCCCAAAAGCCTCTAGGCGCCACGAGGTGTCTGAAACTCCTCTGTGTTTCTCAAGCAACGCCAAACCCATAAACCCAGTTTTTTTCTGTCGCTATTCAAACCCCCCAACCCCAACCCCCTCTGAACTGCGGTTCGTACAGTGACCTCCCTTCTCCTGTGCCACGTCACCCCGCCGCAATGGCCGAAATGACGTCGGAGCTGGTGACCTACCTGCACGGCGACCTCGACCTCCATATCATCGAAGCCCGGCGGCTGCCCAACATGGACCTTATCTCCGAGCGCTTCCGCCGTTGCTTCACCGCCTGTGACACTATCACAATCCCCCACTCCTCCCACTCCCGCCACACCGAACCCGACGGCGGAGAACACATGTCCCAACACAGCCGCCGTAAGATCATCACCAGCGACTCCTACGTCACTGTTTTGGTCCCCGAGACCACCGTGGCCAGGACACGTGTCATAAAGAACTCGCAGAACCCGAAGTGGAACGTGCACTTCTTCATCCCCCTGGCACACCCCGTAATTAACCTCGAGTTTCAGGTTAAAGACAACGACCTCTTCGGCGCCGAGCTCATCGGCACCGCTAAGATCTCCGCCGAGAAAATCGCCACCGGAGAACTCATATCCGGGTGGTTTCCCATTATCGGGTCCTCCGGGACGCCCCCGAAACCCGAATCGGCGATCCGGATCGAGCTAAAGTTCACGCCTTTCGAGAAAAACCCACTGTACAAGCATGGTATAGCGGGCGATCCGGAACACAGGGGTGTGCGCCACACGTATTTCCCGTTGCGGAAAGGAAGCTCCTTGAGGTTGTACCAAGACGCGCACGTGCCGGATGGGCTGCTGCCGGAGATTGAATTGGATGGAGGGAAGGTGTACAGGCCTGAGAATTGCTGGGAGGACATTTGCCATGCGATTTCGGAGGCTCATCACTTGATTTACATTGTGGGTTGGTCTGTGTTTCACAAGGTGAGGCTGATTCGAGAGACCAGCCGACCGTTGCCACGTGGCGGCGACTTGACGCTCGGCGAATTGCTCAAGTACAAGTCTGAAGAAGGCGTGAGGGTGTTGCTGTTGGTCTGGGACGATAAGACCTCACACGACAAGTTCTTCTTCAAAACGGTCACAATTCCAAATCTGCATTGTCGTTTTGAATTTGGTTTTTGCTTATTATGGATATGTCAATCATTTTCAATCTGTATGGTTTGGAATCTTTTAGTGGTGTCTTTGATTGTAAATAGGGATGGATAATGGTTACCCATTGGCCCAAATGGGTACCTATGAGTTGGTGGTGATAGTGGTGGTGGCTTTGGTAGTGATGGTGATGGTGGTTGGTTGGTACCCATTGCTCATCCAAGTGCATACTGCAACCTATGCAATGCACTATATGGGCTGAAATGTAAAGCCAGAAAAAGAAAAGAGAAGAAGAAGAGATCCCAAGTTGGACTATTTGATTCCATTTCGGGTAATGGGGTGTTAGAGGGGTACTTAAGTAGTTAATTGGGTTGGTTTCACACCTTCTATTACTCTCCCACACTTTTGGACTATAGCAAATCTGTTCAGTAGTTCATCATCTTTATTCAGTTATGATTTTTCCCTCCCCATCTTACCCTTAGTGAGATAACGAATTTTTAGTGCATTGTGTAATTTGTCAAGATGCTTGTGCAAGTTTGTATGTGAGGTCATGGAAATTGGTTAGTAATGTGAAGTTCGGATTGGTTGCAGGCAGGAATGATGGGTACACATGATGAAGAAACCCGGAAGTTTTTCAAGCATTCATCTGTTAATTGCGTTCTGGCAACTCGCTACGCCAGCAGTAAGCTTAGCATTATTAAACAACAGGCAGGTTTTGGACGCCCATATTTGCGTGATTCAGCAAGCGTTCCTTTAATTTCATGTAAGATTTTGCTTTCCACTAAGATGATCAACTTGCTGAGTCTAACTTGCATTTTATGGGTTTGTGCAGGTTGTTGGAACCCTCTTTACCCACCATCAAAAATGCGTTCTCGTGGACACACAGGCACATGGTAATAATCGCAAGATAACTGCATTTATAGGAGGTCTTGATCTCTGTGATGGTCGTTATGACACACCTGAGCACAGACTGTTTCGTGATCTTAACACTGTATTTAAGGATGATTTTCATCAACCTACTTTTCCTGTAAGTAATTGGAGATTGGGTTATACAGTTTATTTCTGCATTGTTTCTAACATCCATAACAATTGGGATATTATTTAAAACCCTGTCATGATTTTCCTTGTCTTTCTTGTTTCTTTCTAATTCACTCACGTACTAGCATAATTTGTATATGATATTTTATTTTCAATGATTACTCAAGATCCACAAAATGAGGTTTCTATTCCTTTAAATAGACTGCTAAGATGCATATCTTTTTGGCTTTTTGTGTTTTGTTCCTGTACTAGGCTGGAACCAAGGCTCCAAGGCAACCATGGCATGACTTACACTGTAGAATTGATGGGCCTGCTGCGTATGATGTTCTTATAAACTTTGAGCAACGTTGGAGGAAAGCAACACAATGGAGAGAGTTCGGACTAAAAAAGAGGGCTTCACATTGGCATGACGATGCTTTGATAAAAATTGACCGCATCTCATGGATACTTAGTCCTCCACTATCTGTTTCAAAGGATAGAACAACTATTCCAGAAGACGACCCTGCTTTGTGGGTTCAACGTGAAGATGATCCCGAAGATTGGCATGTTCAGGTTGGATGCTGAAACTTTCTTTCACTCTTTTTGTTATTTTCTGTTTCTTTCAATAAATAAATATGTAATAAAATAAAAAGGAGAATCAAGCTGGGTTATATCTTTCTTTCTTGTGCAGATTTTTCGGTCCATTGACTCAGGATCACTGAAAGGATTTCCCAAAGCCAGCCTTAATGCTGAGGCCCAGGTTTGTGTTTGACTCCCCCTTCTATCTTTCTTCGTTTTAATACTTTTAAATGTGTGGACAAAATCTGATCGTTCCTCTTGATTGTAACTGCAGAATCTTATTTGTTCAAAGAATCTGGTAATAGATAAAAGCATTCAAACAGCATACATCCAGGCAATCAGATCCGCTCAACATTTTATATATATTGAAAATCAGTATTTTCTTGGTTCATCATATGCATGGCCAGATTATAGAAATGCAGGTAAGCTGACAATATGCTGAGCACTGCATATGGTGCTTGTTTCTAGGGTTTTTTTTTTTGGGAAGCAAAACTTTAGCTTTGCGAAACAGTGCATCATGGGTATTATTTTATGTGCATAACTGCACTTGAAATTTATGGGTTCTAGCATTCTGTACATGGGAACCAACTCAACTTCCACACACCCCTCCCCCTTCCCCAAGTACAAATCTTTTTTTTACTAAGTAATTGCAATTTTTATTATTTACTCTATAATTGACTAGGAATATTGAAAATTTGAATCTTCATTTTATTTCTGTCATTGGCTTTAAATTAGCCTTAATGACCCAAGACTATTGCACCTGCCACCTAACCACTTATATTTTTTCAAATTCACATTCTTCAGTTTGAAAAATATAAATAAAGTAATTGTTATTAATTGATAATAGATATATGCTTTCTTTGCATTCAAATTGATCTGAATATTTTCTTTCATGGTGTGAGCAGGAGCTGATAATCTTATCCCAGTGGAGTTGGCATTAAAGATTGCTAGCAAAATTAAAGCTGAGGAGAGATTTGCGGTGTATGTTGTTTTACCTTTGTGGCCTGAAGGTGATCCAAAATCTGGTGCAATGCAAGAAATTCTTTTCTGG